ATAGGTCACTCTTGAACAAACTTGTACTGGTCTAAGACTGTAATAAACTGTGATGTGATGTGATGTCATATGGCCGCATCCTGATGAATCACACAATGAGTCCTAGTGAGTGTTATGCACATCTAGACTTTGGGAAGTAGAAGATTATTTAAAGGAAACTACTGCTTTTCTGAGGAGTTTTTTTTTTTATTTTAATGTTGCTAGTATCTAGGTATTGCACTGTTGCTTGAGATCCTCGAAAAATCCTCTTGTTTCTCTCTACCTTTGGTGAGAAACTGAAGTTACCAATCAATCTTAAATTAAAACATGGACACATACCTTTGCTTTCTTCCTCTCTGCTGTCGTGGTTGGTCATCTTGAGGGTACTTGAAAATGTCCTGAAAAATGGGTTCATACTTCTTAAAAATTACAGCAGAAACTGTAAAGTTTCTTTCTAATCTTGTGGTACGTTCTCTGAATTGGGAGGGTAGATCTGCCATATCTTCCCATTTCTTCATCTTGTTAAAAAACTCTATCAAACTGAAGACATTTGCAATATCAGAAATTTAAACTTAAGAAATGTTTACATTCCAAAACATTGTGTTGAAAACTGATTCTAATTTATGTACCTCTGCGTGTCTATTACTTCGGGTAAACGTGAATAAGACTGCACAGTGAAGGTGCTTGCTAACTATCAGAAAATATGTGTTAAGGTTTCACTAGTAACCACAGCAATTCATACATTAAAATCAAAATATAATGTTCTGCAGTTGAGGTAACAGACTTTCTGAAACTTGACAATCTCAGTACTTCGTAAAATTTTAGAAGTTACCTTTGTCCTGAACAGCGTAATATCCTTATTAAAGATACATAGTTCCCTTCAACAGTTCCTCTGCTAACTGTTGGGACAGCTTTTCTGCAAGCCACATATAACGAACATGCCAACCAATGCAGATCATTTCCCTGTTAATTTAAAACAGTAAAATAAGTTGACCCATCTCTGAAGTCATACAACTGCAAGAAGTTTGTTCCTGATCGGGAATTATCTATGCTGTATTACAAACATCTTTTAAAATTTTGCTCAGTTCAAAACAAACAATTGTCACATTCTATTGGAAGAGGAAAGCTGATCCTGGGGGAACTGAAAGTGCCTACCACCTTGGGTATGCAGAAATAGTAGTAGGACTTCGTGAGTTCCAGTTTATATATTTGGGAAGGATTTACAAGGCTCACACTCACACGCAGGGAGAGGACTCTTGCAACAACCAATCTGCCTAACAGAACTGATGTAATAGCATGAAGAGTAAGAACTGTTACGCACTCAGTGACATTACCAATGAATTTCTCTAAATTCTATAATTATATTTCAAAAGGAAATATTTATTTCACTGAATTTCATGACTGCTGATACCATCATTTTCTTTGTTTTGTCTGTGTATGTTTTTCCAGCATATACAGTGTGTTATTATTACTCTCTTACCACTGAAAATTTCTACCCTTATCAGAGTAACTCAAGTTTCAGAATAATAAATGTCTGGATTAATTGACAAAAAGGGTAAAAACAGTACACATTCTATGAGACATGGATGGAGAGGTAGGGAAGATTAGGGAATGAGAGACCATGAATTCAGGCAATCATCCCTAGTGGAAAATTGCAGTGGAAATGCAGCCAATTCAAAAGTGAAATATTCACACTAGTCTACTAGGAAATGTACTACTTCTGGTTTATTTATCAAGTGGCCACATATAGAGAACCATTTACTAAACAGTACTATAATTTAATCATGATCCATATGCTGTTAGCCTAACTCACCAAGCAGGGTGAAAACTCTTGCCTCTCATACACATCCAGGATTTAATTAGGCAAAAGAACAAGCAAACAGCTTATTTATGATCAGGTGCATCTTTCTGCACTTAAAACTGCAGTATTTTAAACACATTAGCTGCAGACTATGTGCTTCAACAACTGGGTGTGTGAACACCGTATTATTAATTTGCAGGTCCACCTAGGTTATTATATGAGCCCTAAACCCTCAGGATAAAGTCCATCACTTTCACCTCCCCACTCACCTCCCCACTCATTACATGTTGTTTCTTTTATATGTTCTTCCTCCTTTCAACACAGCAGGCCTCTTATTTCTTTCATGCATTTACTCTTGTCTCTACGCTGCTTTTCTATGGTCCATCAGATGTATTGGGGCTACGGTTCACTAAGAGGAGCATTTATTTATTTCAATTTATCGGGTAGGATTAAGAACAATTCCCTGAAAGTATGGCAATGAAAGGACATCAAGCGATACTGACCCAGTTCACACATTAACCCACTTTCGGGGATTTGTGGAATACACCGATTCACCAATGAACACAATGGTCTGGCTTCACACCAAACCCAAACCAAAATAAAGGCTGAAATTAGCTAGACTTAGACAATGTGCTGACCTAGCCCTGGAGGGCTAATGCTTCCAACAACCCTTCCCTTCCAACTGCCTTTTGCATCAGGCTTCCCAGGGCTCCTGAGACCACCCAAAATCCTTCCAGATTCTCCCTCCTTTCTGCAAAGCTGCATCCCCCTCCCCAACAGGATAAGCTCATAAGAGCCCTGCGGATAGCAGTCCAATATGGTTTGTTTATTTATTTACTTAACAGATTTGTATGGCTCCCCATCTAAAAACACAACTCTGGGCGGTTCACAACAATAAAATCCATAAAAACAAAACAAACCCTGGTGCCTCAATCATCCTCTTGTGATGCCCCACAATCAACTCCAGACATCTTCACTCTACCCCAGCACCTGAGTAAAAAACCAGGTCTTGAAGGCCTTTTGAAAGGCTAAAAGGGTGGGTGGTTTGTGGTTCCAGTGGTTTTAGTCAGGGCTGCAGGTATAAAGATGGGTTCTAACTGTTTTAATTCTTAGGATTTGACAATGAAGATACTGAAGTGGTGGATAGCTTCTGCATTTTAGGATCAACCATCAACAGTAAAGGAACAAGCAGTCAAGAAATAAGTTGCAGACTAGTACTTGGTAGAGCAGCCACGAAGGCCTTGGAAAAGATATTCAAATACCACAATGTGTCATACCTACAAAGATAAGGATCGTACAACTCATGGTATTCCCTGTGACCCTCTATGGAAGCAAAAGTTGGACTTTAAAGAAGCAGGATAGAAAGAGTATTGATTCTTTTGAACTTTGGTGTTGGGGAAGACTCCTGAGAATCCCGTGGACAGCCAAGAAAACAAACAAATGGATCATCAAACAAATCAACCCAGAGTTGATTTGAGCACGAATGACCAGGCTCAAATTATCCTACTTTGGACGTATGATATAAAGACCTAGCTCTCTGGAGAAGCTTCTACTGCTGGGAAAGGTGGAAGCAAAGAGAAGGTGGTGACAAGCAGCAGGGTGGATGGGCTCAATTACAGTAGTGATCGGAGAAAATCTACCTAGGTAGTCGCTGGGAGTTGACAACTACTGGACGGCACATAATCAATTAGTTCTTAGGATGGGGGTTGAGCTGGGAGGCCATTTGGTCTGGTGCCTAGCGGGGAGGGTGGCTTTGCTTTTATCCTGCTTTCATTGCTTGCTGGGCACAGCCTCGCCTTGCCGCATGACCTGGGCGGCCCTGTGGCCCCCTTCGGCCCTTATTCCGCCTTTCGTATCTCTATGTAACCCAAGGCGGCGGACAGAGCTAACGCTCCCCATTTCCCCACCACCACACCCCGGTGAGGCCGGCTGGGCTGAGAGGGGAGGAC